TATTTTTAAAAAATATATACGTGATTGATTTTTTACGTAGAGCAGTGGTTGTCACCCTTGTGGCCCTTTCAATAGAGTTGCTCATGTTGTGACCCAACCATCCAATGATTTTAGTTGCTACTTGATGACTGTGATGTTGCTCCTGTTATGAATCGTCACGTAACTATCTGATCTGCACCTGCCCCTGACAGCTCAGCGGTTAGAGCGCCGGCCGGGTGTGAGGCTCAGAGTGAGGTGAGGAGAGACCCCCCCCCCCCCCCCCCGTGTGATGCGGGAGGTGTCACAGTGCCCTGGACGAGTGTTGGGGCCCCAGGTGAGGCCGCTCAGCGTTGGTTCCCCGTTGTTGCCGCGACTGTGATTTCTGAGGCAGGAGCCACAGCCACCCCCCCCCCCCCCCCCGTCTGTCCTGTGTCTTGTGTGCTGAGCCCTTTTGTGTGTCCCATTCCGCCGGTGAAGTGGACGCTGTCTTAAAAATGATGTGTTTTAGCTGTCAGCACATGGCCCGGTGACTGGTGCTGTGGCTGTGGTCCCAGGTCCGGGTGTTTGTGGGGTTTGCTGTCTGTTCCCCATGGTCTGTAAAATGAGTGGAGATGAAAGGGGGGACATTTGTGGATCCTGTCAGGTTGGAAGTTTGCAGAGTGCCGATGGAGCGTCTGGGTGTGGAACTTTCCAAAGGTGTGAAGAAAGAGGACCCCAGGTTTTGCGCTTTGCATGTTGCCGTGAACATGTCCATGTAAGTGAAGAATGAACCTCTAGTTCTCCCCCATTTGTTCCTCAGGTGTGTCTGTGGCGATACCTGTTCTTAGGAGGGGAACGTGGTGGTGTTCCGGCTGCGACAGGAGGCTGTGGAGCACCCCCAGCTGTGCACGTGCTGTTGTTTTTTTTCTCTTTTAAAAAATTGTGTTGCCGAACCGGTTTGGCTCAGCGGATAGAGCGTCGGCTTGCGGACTCAAGGGTCCCGGGTTCGATTCCGGTCAAGGGCATGTACTTTGATTGTGGGCACATCCCCAGTGGGGGGTGTGCAGGAGGCAGCTGATCAATCTTTCTCATTGATGTTTCTGACTCTCTGTCCCTCTCCCTTCTTCTCTGAAAAAAATCAATAAAATATATTAAAAAAAATAAAAAATTGTGTAACCTGCCAAGTGTGCTGCAGTTTCTGTCAATATTTTCCCGCTTCCTTCCCCGTTTCCTAAAACGTTTCCATTGAAAATCCCCAAGTGCTGTTTGCCTGAATGTCATGTCCATGAAGAACAGCACAGAAGCTTTAGTCAATGATCCCAGAGCCTGCCTGGGCTGTGTGTGCTGACGGAGATGTCACCTCAGCTCATCTGCGTCCACCTACCTCGTAAAAGAAGGTATTTTGGGAGCCGGACACACAGTAGGTGAGAGATGTACGGGAACCAGTCTGGGTTTTTCCCAATTGGAGAGGCGGGCGGGCGTCCATGAGCCTTTGCCGTGGGTCCGTCCACCTGTCAGGAGCCTGTGATGCAGGTGAGGATCAGCATGTGGAGCGCAGCATGGCCGGCAGGTGGAGCCCAGACCTCGCTGAGGAGGAATGTGTGTGTGTGTGTCTTTGTGACGGAGAGATGGGCTTGTCGTCCCTGCACGATGTGAGGGTCCTGAGTGGGCACTGAGGGCAGAGGTGCCCCGTGGTAGCGGGTGTATGAAAGCGAGGGGGGAGGGGGATCCCGTGGCTACGTCGTTTTTGTACTGGAACCCGTATTTTTTTTCTGCTGGAATCGTAGAAAGAATTCCCGGACAGAAAGCGTTGTAGTAAGTGTGGAGCTGTGTTGAAGATCAAGTGCAGACTGCCACGTAGGGAGGGTGAAAAGGGTCCCAGGGGGTTCCTTTCTGTCTGGCCTGTCAAGGGTGCAGATCGTGGTGCCTGCTATTCCCTGTGCTGGGTCCATATTCCCCTTGGAGTTGGTTCCTCTAGTAAGTCCTGGGCTCCAAGGGTGACCCTCCCATGGGCCTCCAGAGGTTGTCGCCCCTCATTCCCTGTGGGCTTTCCCCTTTTCCACCCAAATGAAGGACTTGCTTGCCTTTATTTTGTAAATCTTGACCTTTGTGGGCTATTTGCATTTCGTTTGTGTTGTGCAAATGCGAGTGTTGATGCTCCCTTGTGTGATGGAGATGTGAGTGTCCCCGGATTGGTTGTGTTGTGGTAATGTCCCTTCTCCCCGTGTGTGCCCCTGTGTTATTTCCATGGACCCCAATTCTCCCAAATGCCTAAGGCTGGCTCCATCCCCCCCTGAAATTGCTGCTTGAGTGTGACCGAGTCCCAGCTCAGATGGTGCTAAGGAAAAAGGTGTCTTTCCATTTGTCATGTTCCCTGAGGCCCGCGGTCCCCCTGTCCATTGTGTTGTGTATTTTTTTTCTCTCCCCGGGCAAGTGTGTTGGAAGAGGCCAGCAGTCCCCAGTGTTGTGACGAGCCGGTTTTGTGCAGGGTTCGCTTGTAGCTGGCAATGCAATTGTGTGATGTGTGAGGTGGCAGGCCGAAAGCCCCCCCTAAGGATGGCCTGAGAGGCCAACCTTTGAATTGCAAAGGAATTTCTAGTGCAATGTGCTCCCTGAGCCTGATGCATTTGCATGTGGATGGAGGCTTTTGTTCTTTTGTGTGTGAGCTGAGATTGTTGTGAAATATTCCTTTCCCTTGGAAGTTTCGTTTTTCCGTCCCCCTGAGGGCTTAGCCCTGGCCCCGTGGCTCGGAGCAGAACTCCTTGTATTGTGATTGTGTGAATGGTTAAGCCTGAAGTGTCCTGCAGCCACCTCACTTTATGTATTTATGTTTTAGTCTCAGCCCAGAGGTTTCGTCCACGTTGTTTTGTCCCTCCTACCCCACGTCTTAGGCATGCATGGATTTGAAGTCATGCATTGAGGTGTCGTGTGATGTTCAATGTCTAAAACAAGGTCCTTAGAAAGGAGAGAGCAAGGGCAGCATCGGGGTGCAAAGTAGTTGAGACGAGTTGTCAGGAGTTGGAAGGAGGAAGTGCCTGTGGGTATTTGCAAGGGTCCTAATGTTGCTGGGAAGGAGGGAGGGAGGGAGGGAGGAAGGAAGGAAGGAAGGGGCGGAGGAGGTTTATTTAGGACCAAGGTAAGGTTTGTGGTGCAGAAGGTATGTGTTTGGGGCGTGATTGTGTATTTGGACCCGCTGAGTCCTCTCGTTGGATCCGCAGACAGAGGGTCACGTTGCTTCCAACAGCCTTGTCCCTGAGTGTTCCTGTGCATGTGCTTGAGATGTGTCCCTGGTTTTGTTGTGGTTGTGTGTTTTGCATCGTCCTTGTATGTATTTATAGCAGAACGGTCCTCTGAGATAGGCTTTGTGTTAAGATTGTTTCGTGGAGCATGTGGTTTGTGTTTGTCGTTGATCCAGTTTTCATGGTCATGCATCTGTGACCCCTAAGGCGTTCCTGTTTGTTGTGAGGGTAGAGGCGCTGTGGTGGTGGAGGTGAGGCGGGCTGTGTTTGAAGGAGTTGTCCCGTGTGCTCCCGAGGCCAAGCGGTGCTAGTCCGTGAGATGAGAAGGTCTGTGAGGCGAGCAGTGAGGCGGATGTCAGTGTCATGGGAGCATGCACGTGGTAGGGCCTGGTGGTGCGACCTGAGGTGTGGTCGGGGCCTCAGTGAGTGGGCTATGAGGGGAGCCCGGTCCGTTTTCAGGTCCATCAGTCTGAGTGCGATGAGCCAGTGAGAGGCGCTGGCCAAGTGTTTTCCTTTGCAGTGTGTTCCACGTCCTTTCCATTGGAAGTCGTTGATTGTGGTGTGGGAAGGTCCATCTGTCAGGCAGTGGCCAGTTTGTCCGTGTTTGGTGATGCTGTGAGTGAGACAGACAGCTGTTGTGTTAAGATGTCATGTTTCTTACTGCATTTTGGGTGGTAAGTGTTTTCTATTCTTGGGGAAGGAAGTGAGTCACATACATGTGTGTGGTTTTGTTGTGCACCCACTGTTGCGTCCAATTGAGCAGAAGGCAGCCGTTTCCCAAAGCAAAACAGAAGAGGACATTTTGGACATTTGGCCAAGAAATGTGTTTGCACGGTCTTGTTCCCTGCCAGCGCTGGGGGGTTTATCAGGGCCAAAGCTCGATGGATCGGTGGATGGGCCATTGTTGAGGTGATGAGGGCGGAGGTTTGCGAATGTTCGCTGGTATGGAAGTGTGGGTGTGGATGTAGAAAGGGCAGGCGATGGTGCTGTGTGGTTGGGATTTGTCCATGTTTGGATGATATTAGGTTTTCAATGGGGAGGAAGGGTGAGGTTTTGTGTTTGGTGAGGGAGCCGGCTGTTGTCTCGGCCTTCGTTTCCGTGGAGGTGTGTGTGCAGAGGGTCCAGCGTTCGCCTGTGTTCTATTGGCAGACGGAGCTTGTCCACTGGCCCGAGGTGCGTGTGGGCTGGCAGAGCCGGCTGAGTGTGGTGCGTGTCTGTGATGCGTGATGGCAGGGACGTTTGTGAGGAGCAAAGGAAGGTACAACTGTTGGTAGTTGAGTGATGTCAGGAAGCCGAAGGTCGTGTTGTGTGTTGCAAGGACAGGTGGTCTGTGTGTCCCAGGGCCGGCGAGCGGTATCCCGTGGTCCATTCGGGGCTAGGGTGTCATCAGCGGTGTCCGTTTTAGGGTGAGCAGAGATGGAGAAGGGTAGGTGTCATGGGGCAAGTGAGATGCGACTGCCTAGGAGTGAGGAGTCGTGTGTCCCAGCCGCTGAAGCCGTTTGGCAGCAGCAGGGGATACGGAGGGATAGGTGCAGTTTTGCTGGATGGAGCCATGGAGTTGGTCCCGGCTTCTCCAGAAGTGGCTTTTGAGGTGATTTCCGTGTGGGCAGTGGTTTTGCTGCAGGGCACTGTTGAGGTTGGGTGGGCCCATTGGAATGTGTCCCCTCCGGGTATGCGCGAAGAAGTCTCCGCCCCGAAAAGTTCCTGCCCTTGCCCATCCCCAACCCTAACCCTAACCCTAACCCTAACCCTAACCCTAACCCTAACCCTTTAAAAGCCGGCGACTCCCCTGATTGGTGTCTTGCAGGCATTGCGGCTGAGCCAGGCCTTGTGCGGCTGATGGGATGGGTGTTGAATGCCTGAGCCGTGTGTCATCCTGCGTTCTTCGTGGGGCAGGCTACCCACCCGTTGCCCGCAGAGGTAAGTGGTTGAGTCGTGTGGTGATTTTGTTGACCCGTAGCTGTGGGAGTCGGTGCATGTGTTGGTTTTGGGTGCTTCCTTCTGCAGGCGGTGCTGTTTTTGGGGTGTGGTTTTTAGTGGGTGGTGAGGGAGAGGTGTGTCTGTTGTGGGTGTGTGGTGGAGCAATGTAGGTGGTCGGTGCGTGCAGTGTTGATGCATAAGCGTGTTTCTGAGCCACAGAGGATGTTGTCCGGGCTGTGTTATTGTGGCCATGGGTCCTCCATTGTGCGTGTGCAAGTGCCCTTAACGTAGTAGAATTGTAAGAGTGTGTGATGACCATTTTCTAAAAGGTCTTTCAGACTTTGGTGTTTTTTTTCCAGTTTTCCGCCTGTCTGTCCCTCCATCGCTGCCTGTGGTTCCCACATCTTCTGTGTGAGAAGGTTGAGGGAAGGTCGATGTCCCCGCTGGCTGTGGGCTGTGATGGAAGAGGCCAGGTGGGTGCCGTGGCAGTGTCCTTGTTGTAGTCGGTTTTGATGTGGGAGGGAGGTTTGGAGGGAGGGAGGGAGGGAGGGGAGCAGAGAAAGAAAGATGGATGTGAGAGATTGTTGAATTGTCATTTTTAATTTTATAGACTTGTGTTGAATGTTGCATGTGTTTGTTTTTAATGGTTGTAGGTGGGAGCCCGTAGGCCGATGCAGGTCGTGTGTGTTTGTGTGATTCTGTGTGGGGTCCTCCTGGAATGGTGGGTGTGGGGAAAATCGGTGTTGTTCCGTGTGTGCTGTCATCCTCGGTCATGTGGTATTTTGATGGTCGTCCTCTGGTCCCATTGTTTGCACAGGACCTGTGCAGGTATCTGTTGGAGGGAGTCGTGGTGGACTGGTGAAGGTGGTGGTGAGTTGTGACAGTCCTGTGTCGTTGCCGTGCACCAAGTACATGCAAGGACGATGAAAAACGCACAACAGTGCCCTCCCTCCAACACCTCTAACACAGTGTGTTGTGTGCTTTGGGTTCCTTTCCACCGTTTCTGGTGAAGGCTGCCATGGAAATGCTTGTGGCTTTTTTTCAGGCGAAGTCAGATATTGAAGGTGGAAGTTCCTGTTTGGCCATCCATGGGAGGTCATTGTCGTTCGGAGCTTCCCTGTGCGGTGACCCAGCGTGTCGTTGGGTGGAGGTGTTTCTGCTCGAAGAGGTAAGAAGGTGTTCTGGTTCTGAACGGTGAGAGGTGGTTCTAGTGACATGAGGTGCAGAGAGCAGGAGCGTTTGGTTAGGTGGCCCATGGACTGTTGTAGAAGCGTTGATTGTCATGCTGTGTGTGGAAGGATTTTACGGAAGGAGGCACAGAAAGAGTGACCGGTGAGCCCATGAGGATGTGTTTTTTGTTTTTCTGAGAAAGGCTGTCTCCTGTAGTGTTGTTCCTGAGTGAGTCCAATTCCGTGTATGTGCTTATTGATGTTCACGTGTCCAACGTCGACCCGCTGAAGCGTGGGCATGTCTTTCTCAGGTGAAAAGGAAGAAGGTGCGTGTCCCTGTTGGGTGCCCCGAGCAGGAGGTTTAGCCAGTGGTTTGTTGAGAGTGTGTGCAGCTCGTGCCTGTGGCCTGAAGCGTCTTGTGTGTCCATGTGGTGTATTGTACGTCTCCATGGTGTAGGTTCGATAGGAGTTGCAGTGTCTGTCCCCTGTAGGAGAGGAGGCAGGCCATGTGTAGATGTGGTTTTGTTGCATGTATGTGCTTTTATTTTTCCGTTGCCCTCCTGTTTGTATGTTCAGGTCCACGGGAGGCCATGTTGATTTTTTTGAATGGAAAGATAATCTGTGTGTTTGGATTTTATGGAAAGTTTTGCTTGAAATGTGGCCCAGATGCACAGATTGTTGTGGAGGAGGAAGGGGGCGGGGTGGTGGGGGGGGCAGGAGGAGGAGGAGGAGGACGAGGAGGACGAGGAGGAGGAGGAGGAGGAGGAGGAGGAGGAGGAGGAGGACGAGGAGGATGAGGAGGAGGAGGAGGAGGAGGACGAGGAGGAGGAGGAGGAGGAGGAGGAGGAGGAGGAGGAGGAGGAGAGGAGGATTTAGTAGGTGAATCTCATAGCTGTGGTTGTGCAGTCTGAGGAGGTCCTTTGTGCAGGTCCTCTCTGAAGCAGTGTCTCCCACCTATTTCTGTGAGCTCCTTGTCCTTTTCAGTATCGTGCATCCGTTTTTTTCAGGGCCACCCACGGGAGATTTGTCCTTTTTGTGCCACCGTATGTGTTGATTGTAAGTCTCCTGGCTCCCTGGAGGAGTTGAGTCTCTTGTTTGTGTTGGGTGGGTGAGACTGTCACCCGTGGAAAGGGTATTGGTTGAGCCAGCATTTGCAGTGGCCATGGGGTCCCTCAGACCATTTGTGTGTGGTCATAGTGATATCCTGGTATGTGCTCTCCCATGATTGTCAGGTAAGGTTTGAGTGTCGTGTGATCGTGTAGAAAAGATGCATGTAGAAGGGGCCTGGTGGAGTGTGAAGGAGAGAGCACCCTAGAGTGAGTCCACCAGTAACAGATGGATGTTGTGGAGGGTGGCAGGTGCCATTTGTATGCTAATGTTGCATAGAGTGACATCGGTGTCTGCAGTTGAGTGTTTTCTCCAATCTTGTGTAGCTCTGGAAAGCCACCGTCATTGCAAGCAGCCCAGGCTACGTTGTGCTGAAGTGTGCCACGTCATCCCAGTCTGTGAAGGCAGTTGGAAGCCATCACCTTAGTGTTGAAGAGCTCATCCCAGTACTAAGGAGCCAAACGTCATTGAAAGTGTTGTAGTCTGTTTTCAAGGTCGTAGTGTTGATGTTTGATAATTTATAGGTTTGTAGAGTAGGCTAGAGAGTTTGGGCTGTCCCTTAGGTCCATTTTTCTTTTGATCATCCTGGACTGCCTGTATTGGGTGGGTGGGTGGGTGGGCTGTTTGCTTGGCTTGGGTTCATGAATGGGTTTGTTGTGGTTGAAGTCCTGTGAACCTGCTGTCTCTGGATTCTGCTAACAGAAATTTCTCTTTTCTAGGTCTTTGTCCCCTTCCTGGTTGCCATGTTCTCCCCATGGAGGTTGCCGTTGGTCTGAGGGATTTGTGCATTGTGCTCCCCATGCACTCCCCTTGCCAGCATTGAACGAAGTTTGTTGTCCTTGTGAATACCCCAAGGGTACCTCATGGGAAGCTGTGACTCTGTGTGAACCCTCATGAATCTGTGCCACTTGTGCCTGTGGGGAGATGATGTCTGCCTTAGGACCTGTGAGCACAGCTTTGTTTGTTGTGTGCGAATAGTTTTGTTTGGTTTGTCATTTGTGCCCCTATGACTTCCAACTTGCTGTATGGGTTGGGTGGGTCCTGAACAGCATGGCTGCCTTGGAAGGACAGAAGACAGAGATCCCGAAGACATACCTGGAGAGTTGTCTGGGATGCATCCATGGAGTTGTCTGCTGACAGCATGTCTTGTGTGGTCTCCCTGTATAACACAGGCTGGTCTGTCAGCACAGCCAGAGACTATGTGGCTGTCCTCATGCTATGTACGGCCCATTGTAGTTACCTGTTGTGTGGATACTTGTATGTATTCATTAACTGTGTTGTGTGGAAGTGTTGCATTATCCTGTGCCATGTTCAGCAAAGCTTACAGGCAGTCCCTTGTGTGTCCATTCCCACTCATGGTTCACAGAGAGTGAGTGATATGCAGGGGGCTGGGATGGCTGCAGGGTCTTGTTGGGTCTGGTTTTCATGGACATGGTTTCATCTGGGGTGAGTGTTTTTATCTTTGTGGTTGTTCACAGGAGACCTGGTTTGATTTCCCAAAGCCCTTGATGTTTCCAGGGTCATCATTCACCTCACCTTCTATCCTATATGTGCCCAGCGTCAAGTTATTTTCTGTGTATTTGCTGTGGTTGCCTACTGTGCATTTCCCCTTCCTACCTCGAAGGTAACTTTTAGTTACATATGTAGGGGAGCAGCTATGTATCTATGGGGCTATTGGGTCTTCACGAATCCATGGAACAGGGGTATTTGGTCTGAGTGGATGGGAGGACATTGGAGACATCCGATTGATAGTGAGTATGGTAAGTGTGGTTCCTGATTCCTAATGTTGGGGGTGGTTTGTATTCTGTGTAGAAGTTAGCAAACAGCACAGTTTCCCCTGCACCCAATGTGCCCTGAGTGACTCCATCTCCTGTCGCCATCATCATTCTATCAGTTACACTGTATGCACCTCATTTTATCTTGTGCCTCAGTGGCATGATGTTGGTTGTGTGTGTGATTAGTGAAGCCTGCAGGGGTGACCCCTGTGTCAAGGTGGGCAATACCTTTCCGAATGCTGCTCTGCTGTGGCGGAACCCTCTGGTGTTCCTTCCAATTCCACAAAACCCTGGGCACCCCCCAATGCAGCTGTGTGTTTAGTATTCCACCAGCTGGCCCCCCCCCCCCCCCGTCCCACCCAGTTCGGTCCATGTGTCGTCTCCCTTCCACTGTCCTTGGTTTCTAATAAGCAAGTATCCCTCCTTCCACCCTTTTCCGTTTCAAGGGTGGGCCAGCAGAATGTCCACTTGTGGTCAGCAGTTGCTGCACACCTGAGAACGCACTGCTAAGTCAGTCCACCCTGGTGTTAGCCTCAGGTGCCATTGAAGGAAACATGCATGGTGGAGTATGCTCCTGGGCATCATGGTTTTCATTGTTTGAGGAGTCCATTTTAAAACATGTAGCTTTTACGTATGTGAGAGTCTCTGAACTGCTGCCCGCGTTTCCTGTACACAGCCCTACCTGACCCACTGTCATCCAAGGTCTAATTCGTCTCTTGGTTGATTTCCACTTGATTCCTCACTTTTCTTCTTTAACAAGTCTAACGGCCCCCCTCCCCTCGCTGAACAGCACATGTTGCAGAAAGTTGGTGCGTGAGGCAATTTTTCCCCTCGTGTCCTAGCGCAGCCCCTGACTCCGCCCACCGCCTTTGTCCGTGCTGCAATTTAACTGGGTGTCTGGCTGAGCACGCAGGTGTACAGGTTGCCCCACCCGGTCAGCTGTAGAGAAGGTTGCCAGAGTGTGAATGGCCCTCTTTGGAGTAAGGCTCAGAAGTCCTGCATCACCCCCTTCCACCCACCACTCCCTTCAAAGAAAAGACCGGTCGTGTACATGACATCTGGGAGTGTCTGATGCCAGAGTCCTGTGAGTGCTGGAATTCTTTCGGCGGCTTTGCGGTCCCCAGGCCCCTTCACGGAGCAGTCTTCCACCTCGCCTCCGGGGTTTCGCTGTTGATGGGCAGTTTGAAGCAGACTGGACAGCGTAGCTAAAGCTGGGTATTGAGTCAGTTCGCATTTCTGCCGAATGGCAACCACCAGGTTGTTGGCGCCCTCTCCAACACAAAGCTCCCCCCTCTCGCAAAAGTTCGCCATTGACTGGCCCCCACCTCTTCTGCCTCCCTCACTACTAGGCCGTCTGTGACAGACACACAACCGTCTTGTCCCGTCCCCAGCCAGGCCTGGCAAGGTCGGCACTGGCAGCACCCCTGTCTACGAAAAAGTCCCCATGTGGTCCATGTGAGCGGCACCTTGCACAAGCGCCCCCTCCTTGCTCATCCCGATATTTGGCATGGGGGCTCCTCGCTCCATTCATCCCCTGCGGGTTTCAGGGCCTGGTCGCCAGAGCGTTTAGCTGCTTGTTTGCCGCCCTGACCGGGTGTGCTTCAAATAGGGCTGAAAAGGTGCGACTCCAGTGCGCATTTGTGAAAAAAGAACAGCCCGAAAATTGTGCGGTTGTAGTCTTTGGTCACAGCCAGCCGAGTGCTTCCGCTGGGGCTCATGCACGTCATCCCGGAAATTTGCTTTGCTGGTTCCCACCCCGTGCACAGCCTCCTTCAGGGCCCTGCCACTCGCGTCATTCTGAGGAGCTGGCCTCACTCCGGGCTTCTTTGGGTTTCCTTCGAGCTGAAATAAACGCAGTCCATTTTCTCAGACCTCCCGAGTCCGTTCTCTGTGCTCCCGGCTAGTTCCTCCCAGGATGCGCCCCGAAGCTGGAGGTTGAGAGGACCTTCTGCCACCACAGAGGCTGCATGGACTACGTGGTGGAGCGCCCACTGTGGAAAAGGAAGCTGCCGGTCCCCGCCCCATCCTGTGTCGTTTGTGTGCGTGTCTGAATCATTCCTGTGGGCTGGACGGCCCTCACATGTTGGCCTGTGCGCGGGAAAGTGTGAATCCCCTCCGTTGCGACCATTCCGCTCATCCCCCCCCCCCCCCCCAACGTTGTGGTCGATGGAGGGGTAGTTGCATTTCATCATCCCAGCACTGCTCTATGCATAGCAGTATGTGGTCCCGCCCCTAGTGCTGTGCTGGTGCATGTTTCGCCAAAGAGCCAGGCCTTTTCTTTGGGACGTCTCTTCCCCATCACCCTCCTTGCAGCCCCCTCACCTCCCCGCTGGGAAATGATCTCGGGCGTCCTGCCCACCAGTCACCTCCTCTGATAACGCGCCCGCATCCACTTGGCTTCCTCCCAGTTCTCCAACGCAGTGCCCTCCATGTTACAGATGCCAGTTTCCCCTGTGGACTCCCGTGGGTTTGCTTTGAGCCTGTCACACTTCCAAAAGCAATGAAGTCATTGTCTTCACACTGAGTGAGTCCAGTTCTTTGTGCTCCCGCCCCTCTCCTCCCTGTCATGTGCCTTCAACCTGTGAATTGGAGGCCTGTTCATGGTGGGTGCAGACTGAGCATGCCCCATGTGGTTGGGCAGCGTCTGCAAAAAGCATGAAGCCCATGGACTTCTGAGCCCAATGCACACGTGTCTTTTCTCACTGTCCCCACTGCCCCCTCATGGGTGTCTCATTAGTTCTTGTATGTTGGTGGACCTTGCCGCGTCGCCCGTGTGTGGACAAGCACGCCCTCCCCCCTGCCCATCGCCGTGGTTCATTCCACCACTGCAGTGTGCTGCGCTCAATGATAGAAGTGATGTGTTGGTGTCCCTCTCACCCAAGGGTGTTTCTTCAACGTTTTCCCTCAGCCCAGTGCTGCCCTGTCATCTCCACCTCCACGATTGCCACGTCCCCATTGCACCTTGACGGAGGGAGGAATGTGCTGGTGTCTGCCTCACCCCGGAGCCTGGGCTTCTGTCCCCTGGAGGTCTCTCCCCATCACCCTGCCTGCATCTCATCCACATCTACTGTGTCTCCTGGTGTGTTGCATGTCTTGCTACTCTATCTTTTCCCCTGTGCCCAGCCTCACACAGCATCTTGTCCCCAGTGTTCGTTGGAGTCACTGAGCCACAGTCAAAAGGGTTGTGGGCACAGGGAGAAGGGCAGGGACAGAGACAGGCAAGCAAGTGAGTGTGGTACAAGCTGGGGTGAGGGGTTCATGGGAGGTGCATGGAGGGCAAGGGTTTGCTGCGAGGCCAGGCCGTGGGTGGCAGGGCACAGTCTTGGGGTGCTTGGAGTCCAGCGTGTCCGGTGGAGCTTCTTGGGAATGGAGGCTGCAGCTCAGACAAGTGCTTCCTAGGTTTGCCCGTGGAGGGTGATGTGTCCCTGTGCCCCTTGATCACCATGGCGACCAGTTGTGTTTCAGGGTGCCCTATCCAAGGAAGGTGCCTCTTACCTCACCACCGTGGTTCCCATTTGCTTGGCCTAAGCTGCATCATCATGCTCTCTTGAGTCTTGTTCCATGTGGTGGAAAGGGATGGGCCTTGGTCAGCAGCTGTGCCCGCAGGAGCCCCATGCAATCTTTGCGTCCTGCACCTTTCTGATAGACAGCCAGTCCTGGCCTCCCCACAGCAGTCTCTGACAAGCCTCTCCATGTTTCCTTTTCTAGCCTCAGCTAGTGTCTGCCCAAAAGCCCCCTAGCAGCCTTCCCATCTCCCTGGAGCCGTGCAGGTCAGCCCTCCATCCCTTTGGAGCCAACTCCCACCACTCACCTCTTTGTCTGTCCTCTTTCCTGCTCTGCCTGTCCTTCCAGGAGCTGCTCTTCCGTTTCCGCCATCCTCCACAATCCTGTGTGAGCACTGCAAGTGTGAGGCTCCACCAACGCCTGTCAGTTTCCCTGTCAGCTCCTCTGAAGCCCACGGACTTTTCGGGGAGCATTTATCCCTCTGCTGTGACTCCAGGGATGCTGGTTCTTCCTCCTCCTGAAGACACCTCCTTCTACCTGCCTCCTCCCTGTGCCTTTCTGCCTTATGCTGCCACGGACATTTGCAGCCTCTCTCCTCCCCCAACACCCCAGCATGTTCGTCTGCCTCTTGTCTGTCCCCAATGGTGGCTCCCGCTCTGTTGCTGCAGACCTACCCCCACTCACTCAGCTGTGAGGGCCAGCCAGTGGTTCCCTCCGTGCTCATACAGGCACTCACCTCCTTGCTCAGCAGCGCATGGGTGTGAGCCCAGCCACTGCACGTCATCGCCATCATCATATTGCATTCCCGAAGAAGCCATCGCATCGTCCCCCTCAGCTTGGTCTGCTGTCATCCTTGGGAGCTGGCCCCCCTGTGAACCACAGTGAGTCAGGTTATCTCTGCAGATTGCCTGTCTGCAGTTTCCGTCCCCGTCAGTGTGATCCTGGATCATGGCAGGGTTTTTGTTGTGTGCAGCACATTTTCTCGTCCTGCCTGCCACCTGGTGTCCCCGTTCCCACATGTGTCCGATGTAGCGCGCGTGGTTTCTGCATGTTGTGCCTGCAGATTCCTGCAAGCCCAACAGGTTTCAGCAGGAACTCAGGTAGGTATGCACTTGACGTGCTGATCTCTGCTGCTGGTTCCAGCATGTGTTCCCTTACTGGGTTCCTCCACCTCACAGTGGCTGTTCCCCCAACGCAGCTGCTGGGATTCCGGAGGAATGTGTGTCAGGATGGTTAGGCCTGTTCATCACTGCATCCCCCGGGAGTGCTAGGGCGACAGGTGCACGGCCTGCATGCAAACGGGTGGGTGCAGTGGAATCCAGCAGCAGGCATCTCAGGCAGCACGCACAGGGGGCACCTGGGGCTTCTTACTCACCTGTTTCTCCGGCTTACCTCCTCCGCTTGTGGCGCTACCTGAGGTTTCCCTGGCCCTCCACATCGGTCTTTGAAGTTCCAGCCCCCAAGGGCTCCCCATTTACCAGGAGCAGGTTGTAAGCGCTGGGAGTCATGGTCTCCAGCAGCCTTCTGGGTGCCATTCTGAAGAGTGCTTTTGGTGCTGCTTCCTGAGGCCTGGCGGGGTTCCAGTCCCTCACATGCACGGTCGGTGGCATTTCCCTACGAGTTCCTCTCTGTCCATGAGCTATGCCCCCCCCTCCGAAACAGGGTCTTGTGCCCCGAGAAACACTAGGGAGCTCTGCATTCAGGATGGGGGGGTCTTTTACCTTCCCGGGCCTGGTCCTCCAGCTATCGTTGGGGTGGCCCAGCGTCTCTGCTCAGACTCCCTCACATCGGTTTCCAGAAGCAGCCG